ATTTAAGAAAAATACTACAAAATATCATAAATTAACAGATATATTTTGTACTTTTGCTTAATTTAGTTTTCAGATTTGTCACAACAATTCAAAAAATGTTTCAAATAAAATCAATAAAAAGAATTTTGATACAAAGAAAAAAAATGTTTCAAAAAATTATTTATTGACAAATTCAAAAGAAAAAAAAATTCTTCAAAATCCAACGTCGTCTAGACTAAGTCTAGTTGCATAAAAAGAACGTTTTTAAATATTTAAAATTAATTTGTATTACGAGACAATTGGCTGCGTAAAGATTAATTTGTTCGAGAAAAAAAAAACTAACAATAAATCAAAATAAGATAACCGAAAAAACAGAAATTATTCATCTATACCATCTGATAATCACGTAATCATTGATAATGCATGAATAAATATTCTATAAAATTTGTAACAACTGCTTAAAATTGTGGTAAAAAAATTATCAAAAACCAAGGAAACCTTTTTTTTTTTCAAACTAATCATTTGAAAATGAGAACAGATTATTAAGTCGATTATTATATAATATCTTTTTCAGTCTCCAATTAAACAGTAATCGACTGTAACGAGTATAATCAGTGAAAAAAAAATAACATGAAAATCTTCTGTCTTTCAGCAGTTTCTTGAAATAAAATTAAGCACTAATTTTTTCCTTCTCATAAAATATAATTTTGCTTATATCTTTCAGCAACTTTTGTGCGTTCTACTCATTTTCCAGAACCCAATTTCGTCCTGCATTACCCTAATATAAAATTTGATATAGTAAAAACGACAAAAAAAAATGTTTAACAATTATTTAAACAATAATTATTAGAGCAGCATAAACTTTGTTTAGCAAGTTAGAAAGATTCAGAATAACTGTATTTATCTTAGTCTCAAAATGGACAACAAAAAGCTGTCGGTAACAGCACAGCTACGACCCAATTTTTGTCCAACTGGACTACCGATAATTTTTGCACTATTAACTATTATTTCAGCGATGTATTACAAGTATACCCTTTTATATGGTTCTTTTTTTTGGCATATCAAAGCATATCTATAAAAATAGACAACAAATTATTGTAGTATGCTTAAGTGCTTTAGAAAAAGTCAAATAAAAGCTTACTGGAATAATTAGTGAGCAGCAGAGTTTTGGACAATCACTACAGGTTAACGGCATTTTCAATTGTGCTTTTTATTGATTCTCCTTGTGCCCTGGTCCAAAAATTTTTACTGAAATGTTGATCATCTGAGCAGAAACAGGAAAAGAATAATACAAAAAAAGAAGAAAAAACGTGCTCAAAAAAAGTTTTAATTTCAATACCACATAAATGATTGTTCACAATTAAGCGTGAAACAGATACGGCGAACCTTAGCCAAAGAGTTGAAAAAAAAAGCAGCTGTAATACTTTTGATGTTAAATTTTTTAAGTAAAATTGTCTAATAATTTTGCTAAATGCTTCACCTATTCTATAAAATCATAAACAAGAAAAATATAACCTGTAACTTTTCAATATTTTGTTGAGCACATCGCTATTGCATTTAACAAGTGAAAAAAAAACAAATAAATGAATATATATATATATATATATATATATATATATATATATTAGTTTATATATATATATATATATATATATATATATATATATATTATATATATATATATATATATATATATATATATATATATAGGTGCTGTGCTTAAGAGTGCGTATTTTTGTTTGTGGTCGTCCCCAAAATCCTTACAACTTTTTGGTTTATCAAACAGCTTTTGGCAATTCCACGTCAAATCGCACAACTGTTTTTCCTTCATATTTATATGTATTGTATATGTATACATAAATTGCGATGATCAAAAGATCACTTCAAATTAACCATTAACAAATAACGAGAAATACACTATCAAAAGTTGGAAAAAAAAGCAGCTGTAATACTTTCTTGCAAAAAAAAAAA